TCCTGGTTGGCCAAACCATTTTTGTCCTTCAGTATTAGTTACTAACCTGAAACAATATTCTCTCATCATTTTCAGTGATGTTGTGCAGTCTGAGGATGGCAGTTTTGCTTTGTCTGTCTTCAGTATATTCAACCCTGTCTTTATACTCTGGATATGCTTTTAAATTTATCTTATCTCCATCCAGTCTCTTTATCCAGAATGTATTAATTAATGTATACTGCTGAGGGTACAGTATGTATACGAGCATGACATGTTTACTGTGGATCCTTTAGGAGCGCATATTGAATCAGTTTCATAAATCACATTCCAGGATTGTGCAAAAACTCCTGAAATACAAAACATAGAAGATCAGTGTAAAGCTTGCATTTGTTCAGTTGTAGCCAAGCAATAACATTCAGTTTTGCGAAGTGAGAAGTGTTTACAAGACCTGCAGATGAGTAAAGGTTTTGCAAAAAAGCACAAATTATCACGATGTTGCAGAACTCTAAAAACGGATTACTAGGCTGAGAGCATTTCTGATTCTGCTGAAGAGGGGCTGCTTGAGTATAAGGGATATTTAATGTTTAATATTGCAGAAAGCATTTTAAAGAGATGCTATAACAACTGTGACTCACCAAAAATCATGAGCAGAAAGACGAGAGGAAGAGAAAGAGTCATTCTGACCTTCACCACCACTGCAATCTTCACAGCCATAACAAATGAGAAAAGAGTTATAGGTACAGTATACAGGACAGTAACAATCACTGTCACTCTATGTTAGTGATGCACATTAGTATAATGATATTCATAGGTCATTTGTCTTTAATAAAATAATTTATTTGTTGCAATTCATTTATTGTCCAACAGAGGCTTACTGTATGAGTTGCTCTATTAAAGAGGTTTATTATATCAGAGCATGTGTGTCAGAGATCCACAGACACTTCATGAATATCAGTGAGCAGACAATATTTAATCCTGCATGACTCTGGTTTTGTAGTTAAAGTACAGCATCTAAAAAGGTTTGTTATAATCTATTTCTTTATTCGTCACATATTTACATACCTTAAATTGACATTCAGATTTGAAATGTACAAGCTCTTCGTTAAATAACATGTAAAAACTCTCATACCTTGTTCACAGCGGCTTTCATCAGCAGTACACAAAGAGCAAATGTTGAGTTTCGAACATGTTAGACAAGTTAAGATCATCTGTCAGTGATTATAATAACTTCCAGTTTCTATGCAAATGTGTTTTGTTTGTCATTTTAAAAAAATTTGTAAAACTTCTCCATATTTGTAAAATGACCTACTGCCTTTACTGCAAATGTCAATTCAAGACTGTTTTATTTGTATGGCATTTCACAATCATTTTACAGAAGCTGTACATGTATGTCAATGCATGAATGTCTTTATAATGAACAGGAATCTAACATTCAAACAGGAGATTCAGGCTGCATTAAAGGACTTGTTTTGGCCGCAGAAGCATGGAAGCTTTGTCTTGAACGCACTTCATTCCATGAAACGTTTATTCATTCTTCTTATTTATTTAGGTAAATAATTGACCAACAAAAAAAACATATTAAAATTCAGATACAAATTATACCAAACGAAACTCGTTCCAAAAAAAAAAGGGATCCTACAAACAAAAACATATGAAGTGGTCAAAAAATTATGTCTGATCCACTTCCTTTCTTCCGGCGTAGAGTACTGCCCTCCGATTTACCACGCCCTTATGATGTTTACAATTTCCTTTCTTAATTAACAAATTGAACTAAACAAAAC